TCGGTTATGCATGCCAGGTCTGCATCCTCCTCCAGGATAAGATCATAGATCAACTGGGGTTTATTGGATACAGACCTGGCATTCAGCAGCACCAGATTTAGAGTGGAGGGCTGACTGAGCTGGCCACCTCGATACTGAGGGTTGGTCACAGTCTCAGAACAATGAACAGCAGCCAAACATCTGTTTGGTGCAGTTTCTCCATGGCTTCTAGGAAATAAGAGGTTTTAATTTTATTTATTTATTTGATTTATTTATTTGATTTTACCCCGCCCCTCTAGACCATGGCTACTCGGGGCGGCTAAAGCTTGCGTCCCCTAAGCATTTTGCTTAGAGGAGAGAGAAACCCCCTCTACCTGGACTTAAGAGTAAAAAAAATATCCCCAACGCACCAGACACTCTGTGTGGGTTGAGCCAGTGAGATTAGGTTGTGTCATGCATCTTATGGACTGGAACTATTCTAATTTGCCGGGTAGGTGGGGCTCATCAGCCTTAGAAGGCAGCCCATCTAGGAGAAGGAAAACTCCGATTTCAAACCTCCACTGCTTTGTGGCTACATCCACTGATGGAAAAGGCTTCAGGAGTTAACCTCGAGGCAAAATCTGGAACCGGAGGCCTTAGGAATGGACCTCAACAGATGAGTGAGCTTTCAGCCTGGAGGCAGGCATTGCATCACGGCTTCTCCCAATTTGAAGAGACCCTTGTCCAGCAGGCTGAGGCAAAGAGGCAGTTACAAAAACAGCCAAATCAGGGAGCGGGACAGGGGACAGACTGGATTTGTCTTCAGTGTGGAAGAGATGGTCATTCTCAAATTGGCCTCCTCAGCCACACTAGACGCTATTCCAAGACCTCCAGACAGAGCACGTTACCATAGTCTTTCAAGACTGAAGGATGCCTAATGATGATTATGATGATGATGAAATAGGTGAAAACATGAAAACGTAGAAAAGAATAAAACTGTCTGCTAAAATGGGGTTCAGTTGTAATTGTCAAAAGCCTGCCTGAAGAAATGGATGTCTTTCACCTTTTCTTGGAAGGGTGACAGGGAAGGGGCCGGGAAAGGAGTGTTTTTAACCTGGAGAAAAAAAGATTAAGGCATGAATTTGAAGATATGGAATGTAGAGCAAGGTTGTTTTCTGCATCTCCACAGGGGAGGACCTGAAGTAAAATTACAAGAAAGGACATTTTGTCTAGTCTCTTGTTCCTGCTAGTTAAATGGCAGTCTAGCCATTCTAAGGCATTCATCTTATGCGTTACATCTGAACACAATAATTCCTGCCAAAGATTTTAGCTAAGTTGGAAAAATGTATCTGTGTTTTAATCCTTAAAAGCATATAATTTTTGCAAAAAAACCCAAACCCACACACAGTGTGAAATGTTGAAATAGAAGGGATGCAACTAAATGTCTCAATGTTTAAAACACTTGTTTTACCAAAAGTTACAGCCTCTCCAACTATAGGAAAAAAAGATTGCTTACCAAGAGTGTCCAGCATCTGGCAGATCTCCTCCGTGACTTCTTTGCGCAAAGCTTTTTTTTTCCAGATCCAGCCATGCCGACTCTTCCTCCGTAAAATGCACAGCCACTTCCTTAAAGGCCACCAGGTCCTGGAAGAAAAAGGGAAACAATCCCTCTTCCCAGAGTGACCAGACAGCGTGGGTTGTAGAACGGACAGACGAGAAGGAAAAAGAGGAGGAACCATGGCTTCCACTTGGCAAGGTATGAAGGGGATGGTGGTGGGATAAAACGTCCAGGTGGCCGCCCACCCATCTCCCTAGCGAATCTTCCCCCTACCTGACCAGTTGCCAGGATCTCCCACACCTTACAGGTGAAAACCAGCTTGAAAGCCCTTCTGCTTTCCCATCCAAATAAGATCTTTTAGAGGAGTCTGCGATTGTGTCCTTCAGAGGTGAAAGAGAGCCTCCCACCCTCCCCTGGGTCTGAAGGGCGCCAAGACTAATTCCTGGCTTTTTGCCTGTCTCTAATGCATTAATCCATCAGCCAGAGGCAGGGAGATCCAATAGACATTTATTTTCAGCTGAAAGAAAAGCAAATAGTTGCAAACTTCTCTCACAAAAAAGGGAGCACACCACACTCATTACAGAATATACAGTACTTTTATCAGTGTGATTCCACAGGCTGGTCATTAATCTAGTTCACAGGCCATACATCGAGGCCAGTTCAGTCCACCTGTCCAGAGACATTTTGCCCAGGGTACCCTTTTGATCTGAAAGTAGCGCCTGATCAATACATGCATGAACGGATTTGACAAGGGCTTGTAACAATCAAGTGTTTACCTGCAACCTCATTTCAAGCATTTTTCCACAGGAAACACTTGTCGTCCAGGTAGGTAAGATAGGAGATGAAGCTTAGGAAGAGAGTGAAAACGGCTGTCTGGAATCATGGGATCACCATTCGTTTCTTCTTTTTTTAATCATTAGCTAACCTAATCAACAAGGACAAAAAGAAAACTTAGCTGCCCAAATGGGAACTCAGCACTATTTTGCTAAAAATCTGTAGGTGGAAGTGAACTGAGGAAGCTCTTGAAAATCAATACTGGTGAACCCATACGAAGTCCCTAATGACAGGTGATCATTTTGTTAATTGCCATAATGTTCTTACATTGTGAATCTTCTAACAAGCAAAAACTTTCAATCTTTGATTAGCATAAAGTGGCAGGATGTGACTAATCTTCGGAAAAACAGACACAAATTCTAATTCGTCTCCTAATTCGATATGGATAAAATGGAGGACTATACAACGTTGGGCGTCACTCGCCAGGAAGTGCCCGTGTCCTTCGCTCTCATGGCCTGAGCTTGGCATGAGTGGCACCATTTTGAATGGAGCAGAGTATTTTCCTAGAAAGCGCCTGAATCTGTTTGTAAATGCTTGTCATGCCTTTCTGCTCCTCTTTCCTTTCTTTCCCATTTTTTCTTGACAAAACAATTGAGTGTTCAATTGTTTTTTTCTCACCTCCTGCTCCTTTCTTTGACTCTCACTCCAC